TAATATTTCAGAAGTGTCCCGATTTTATCATTCGTAGGTGGATCGTAATTAACATGTCCATCAGCACCTGCCTCTAAATCCACAGGGGCGGTGGGGTAGCCTAATGGTTAAAGCGTTGGCTCGTCACGCCGAAGACCCGGGTTCGGATCCCCACATGGGCACAATGAGTGAAGCCCATTTCTGGTGTCCCCCGCCGTGATGTTGCTGGAATATTGCTAAAAGCGGCGTAAAACCAAACTCAGTCAGTCAGTCTAAATCCACATTCTGTGCTGATGACCTTTTTACAAGACCGCCGCTTGTATGAGCATCCTATTTACATCCTGGTTAGACCAATTTAAGGAACTGGAAGACGGTTGCTGCTAGGTGAGAATAACTGTCAGTTAGTGAATATGCTTTTACACCACTTTTAGCAATATTCAGCAATATCATGACGGGGAGAGGGCTCCAGAATTGGGCGTCACATGTGTGGAATCGAACCCCGGTCTTCGGGGTGACGAGCTAGCGCTTCAAGCACTAGGCTGCTCCACCGCTTCTTGTTATCACTAACTTTATTGCAACTGCCACCAAGGTTGTATTATATTATACCCGTCATTTTTAAACTTCGATGGAATGGAACATACCGCGCTATTCTGTATTGCCACTGTAATTATGTTGCGGTCATTTGTATTGAGTTGCAAACCATAATAATTCATAAATCAATTATTGATTGTATATCATTCATGCAATGTTATTTGTTGGCTTCACGCTCAATTCTTTTGCGTATTGATATCTTGAAGTCGACACGTAACAACATATATCGATGTCTCTGAGCTGCAAACGTGATATACGTAGACACAAAACACATATATCAGTGAGCAACGTAATTGATATATGAGCACATTGTTCTTGTGAGCAAGAACTGCAAACGTGAAACGTGTATATTGTCTATATACGCGTATACCATATATAAATGTCAGTGAGCTGCACATATGATAAATGTGCATCAATGCCAGTGAAGTGCACATATGAAATAAGTAACCAGTGGACGCGAAGCACATATGACATTTACGAGAACCTTTATCTATTGTTACGAGTTGATTCTCAAGTTGATAGTGAAAGATAACCAGGAATCCTTAAAGGAACTCTCTGCGAAACCACCAAACAGCTAGGGTGGTGGTGGAATTGGGTTAAACGTCGTGCTTGAGAATATTTCGCTGATATGACGACGTGCATGCGTGTGTATGTGTATGTGCGGCTGCTTGTACTAGCCCAGACTGAAGCTGGTTTTATAGTGCTAGCCCACTGAGATACCATGCTGCAGTGAAGCATGAATACCCCACTCAGACACATTATACTGACTCCGAGCCGACCAGTCCTTGTTGTACCCATAATGCCGAGCGCCAGGCAGGGACCAACAAGTACCATATTTTAACGTCTTTTGGTATGACGCGGTCGGGGATTGAACCCGCGACCTTCCGCACTCCGGGCGGACGCTCTAACCACTACACCACGGAGGCGGTCAAACAGCTAGGGAATGTATTGTAAATAAACAATGTTTACAGATTAATACAAATCACTACACAGGTATTACAATGCCAGCAATACAGTAGCAGTACACATTCAGCAGTGTGATACAAAGGCAGGCATTAAAGACAGATATAAAGAATATTATATAAGTGTCCATGTCATACTATGTTTACGACACGAGTGCCTTATTGTTGGTATTTCCCGAGCAAGAGCGAGGGTTATACCGATACTTAGGCACAAGTGTCGTAAGGACAGTATGATGTGGTCACGAATATATATTATTCTGTTTGTTACTGAAGTCATCAAATTGAGGAAAATAGACCCAAATCTACTTTCAAACACAGGCTGGCTACCCACCATCGTCGCATGTAGAACGCAACGTCATGGAAGAAATGTGACGTCACAGCATTGTTCATGACGTCACGTCACCGTGACAAAGTGATATTTTGCCCGGCGTCGTATGAAAAATATGAACCCCGATATTTTCGCCCTCGTATGTAACACATATATAGAACGTCATACTGTGCATTTAGATGCTTTGAATTGAACTCGAAGATGTCATGGTACGAGTTGTTTCTCTGCTACCATGACATCTTGTATGCACTAGTATGGATTCTCTATTTATTATATACCCTCTTATCTTGCATTAATCTGTTACTTAATAAAACAAATCATAGCATAGCAATGAAGAACCGGCAGGGGTTCAATGCGGAATCTGGGGTGCAATGCGGAATTTGACCACGTCATCCGTATTGCACCCCTGTATTGCTATCCTAAGTTTACATGGGTATATAATAAATGGTAATATTGACCTCACTGCAGTGAAGTTTCCAAAATCAGGCCCGGTATCCAGGGTCAGAATAATCACCATACAATTTCTTGTCTGTTTCTAACTTGACATGCAATGTGAGACGAGTGGTAAGAGGTAACTCCCCTTATATACCTGAAAAGTCTCTGGAAGATTCTCCAAATCCGTGTGTCAGAATATGGTGAAATGCCCACTGGGTTGTTGTACCAAGTACCTTCCAGAACTGGAGACATAACATATCAGTGACCTTCGCTGACTATCCTCATATACAATCATGTATTGCAATGGGGACATTGTTACACAGTGTACAATACCGCTACACAACATTATGGACTCACTATTAAAAAGTCATACCAAAAGACGTTAAAATATGGTACTTGTTGGTCCCTGCCTGGCGCTCGGCATTAATGGGTACAACAAGGACTGGTCGGCTCGGAGTCAGTATAATGTGTCTGAGTGGGGTATTCCTGCTTCACTGCGGCATGGTATCTCAGTGGGCTAGCACTATAAAACCAGCTTAAGTCTTTGCTAGTACAAGCAGCCGCACATACACATACACACGCATGCACGTCGTCATATCAGCGAAATATTCTCAAGCACGACGTAAAACCCAATTTCACCTCACCTCACAATTAAAAAAGGTTCGTTGGGATTGGGAATTTTTTTCTCAAGATATACAACTGAATTTGTAAAAAGGAGATGGCTAACACGCATTTGTTTATTATGTGTTTGTTTTCGGTAAACCCTTTGGTCATTTAATCTTTTCCTGGTAGTGTTTTTCGTCTCAAATTATGAAAGTTCTGTTCCGTAGGTATCTGATTTAGTTTCTATATACTATGAGGCTTTTCATAATACGATAACCAAATCTACTTCTCTTCCTGCACTAGGCAATACATAAGTCACCTGGGACGCTGAAACAACGGCAAGACATGCCGATGGACAAAGTTTGATGCTTATCTTCAACATCAGTGATCAATCAGTCTTTCAACCATCCAGCAATTCCATGAAATATGATTCTCCCGTAACCAGCACTTCTATTTCTCCTAACTATGTCATTAAATGTGTATTATTGTGTTCAGATGCCACGGAAACCAGTTCGGTGTAGTTTATGCCTCAAAGACGGGACGTTTATGAGAGGCGCGAAGTCACGAGGTAATATGAGCTGACTTGATCGCCGTTGATCCCCTTCCTTCACGATATGGCGACTTATATCTAATTAGGAAGTACTGTTACTAATCGGATCTCGATCCCTACAATTCCAACAAATGGGAATTCAGCCTAGTGTGAGATCGTCGTTATGTGCCAATCCTGCAACACTTCTGTCCGGTTTGGATATGTTAAAGTATATATTACGAGCTTGATTTGATTTATCCACGTAGATGGGACGTATTCTTAATTATTACCCACGTGGTCAACGTATGGGTAGTTGCATACTTATCTCGTACGTCACACGAGTGTCGTATCGCGTTGACCTGTGTCGTAACGACTTTACCTGAGATTCGAACGATTTGATTGGATAACCGATGACCTCTCAATTAGGTCACATTCTGACGCAACTATGTTTTCATTCATAACGAACACGTGAATTCATTCATTCTACAACTTAAATGCATTGTGGGAATGTAAACATTGCGAACGTTGCCGTGTCGCTGTTTAATTGTGAGTCGAACTGAGACATTATATCCCTCGAAAAACATAAACGCAATGTTTCCACCAGTGATGTTAGCCGAATGAAGCAACTGCAAACCAAGAAACGAGGTGCTACGGAGTAGTTTACTGTAGGAGGCTGTACGAGGCGATGACAACTGCCATGCATCCTGACGTCGGTTACCAAGGCAGTGACGTCATTACAGTGTGACGTCATGCAAATATTGTACTACAGTACAAAACTCTTCCGCAACCTCTTTATGAAACCGGTTTCGGTTTGAAACCAAAAAATAACAAATATACGCTATTTTGTCAATTTAATGCATGGAAGACGTGGGTAATAAATAAAATACCACACTCGGTCTCATTACATACGAATTATACGAAACTCGTGACCTTCACATGGTATATCTGACCTCGCTTTCGCTCGGTCAGATACCATAGGAAGGACACTCGTTTCGTATAATTCGTATGCAATGAGACCTCGTGTAGTATTCTCTATATACGTCTAATATTACATTTATATTTGCGCAGCAGTAATTCAGTTTGTTTAGAATAAAATACACGGATATACCTGCTTAAAAATAATAATAGTTTTACCAAATTATTTTTATTTTGAAAATTACTGCAATGAATCAGAAAACGTGAATGCCTTCAGAATTAAATGCCAACACTCCTTGTAAGTCACTTTGTGAGTGCTCGTGATATCAATACTTTCTGAGATAATAAAACTGAAATAGATCAATTTGATAGCTCTGCTTTGTCGTATGAATAAAACATGCGGACTGTTGATTATTAAGCCGCGTCAAGATTTACTGTGGGTCCATTTTACACGAAGTCACGCAAGACTGGGCTAAGATTTGGCATATCCTCCAAGGAAGCAGCATCTCCACATACGGCAATGAATGGTGTTAATGAAAAGCTTCCCGAGGTCGCAATGAACGTAATATCAATCTCGAGCACACGCTAGCTGAAGTGTTACATAGAAAGGAAACAATTTTGTGACAACAGCCGCCGTGCGCTGATGGTAGCTGCAGCGTATGGTCGGTACCAAATGGTCGCGAGATAGGTCGATATACGCATCTTGACAGTACTAACGAGGAAATGGTAAGAGCGGGAAGGATACTGACTTATTGATCGGCAGTGGCTGGACCGTCCGTCAATCAGAAGGACCTTCTCAAACAGGGACTACAGTAGAGGGCGTGCTTTACCCACACTCTCATTACGACCTATGTGTGATGTTCCTCACGAGTCTAACCAATAGTCACTCATTTGCTAGCAACTTATCCGCAAAGCGTCTTACAGACCCGAAGTTTCAAAATGTAGAACGTGTGAATGATCCGAAGTTTTTATTGATGTATCTTTCAAAGCGATGTATAATTAGGAAGACTTTCCCAGGAGTGTGTCCAACACCCCTCGGAGAGAGTGATACTCTACCGTAAGTAAACACTGAAAATCACAGCTGATGCTCAACGTTGTATACCGCGCTGTTAAGGGATTCTGGAGAAGTGGGAAGGAGTTTTCTACTTGTTTCATCAAGATGAATCGGGATTTAAGGATTAACGCTGATTCTACATAATGGCTATGGCTAATGTGAGCCACAAGTTCCCGTTCTGGAGCAACGATACCCTGGCAAGTCAGTGGCAAGAGGAAAATAGTTTTTACGATGTGATAACCAGTTTCAGGGAGAGTCTTTTTACGGTGCACAATACGACAACTATAATCCTTTTAACCTTCTACGTGCCTGTATTCCTAGTGTCCCTTGTGGGTAATATTCTGGTGCTGCTTGTGATTGCTCCAAATCGACAACTGCAAAGTGTCACCAACAACTTCCTCCTCAACCTTGCGATAGCGGACTTATTAGGTAGGTTGTTTAAAATGTTGTGCAAATTTGAATATGTGTTCTTTTTTTAAAAAGGAATATGTTTGTTCATTGTGGGCTTAAGTGGGGTGGACATTTATACGAAGCCGACCATTCATAATCTCATTATCATCCATGGAGGAAGTATCATTATGAGCCATTTTTTTATGGCTTGGCTATAACAGCTACTGATCGAGCGACCAGGTTCGTTAACCTGCCTGATTGCGGGTTATGTTCCAAGATTGTGTTGGTCGTTTTTGTGCTCTCATTCAATACGTGATCAGATATATCAGCCAATATGATACAGATAGATTTTTACTTCGGTATTACTCTAACACACTGTCGATATAATTATTCCAATGAGTTACTAACAATCAGTAAGATACTTTATGGTAGAGGCTTATGTTTGACATTTGTCATCACCATATCTCTGCTAGTGGGCAAAGCTAGAGATCCGTATCACATCGGACGTTCTCTTCCCCCCCCCCCCCCAATACCCAACCCATGCGTCGTGATGTACTGGTATGACGAACCATCTGCGCCGTAAAAATATATCTATCTACCTCTCTGATATATGGACTCGGAGGAGATAAACATCAGTGCGGTATTACGATAATATGATAAATTGTAAGGATTGATTATTTCATCGACGTGTGATATGTTATTACGAAGATATAATTTCTGTCTACCTGCAGTTTTGGATAGTAGTTGCACAGGTTAGTTTTTACATAATTCTTTAGGTTTTTATTCTGGTTAGTTTTGCATATTATTCTCCTTGGATCAAAGGAGGACGTTGTAGCATGTATATCAATGAGTATATGAAATTCCAAGTGTATATGTATGACAATAAAAGTAAATTTACTGAAATAGCAATTTCACAGACCGACATGCATGGATCCGTATACTAAACTATTATGATTGTGAAAAAGTCTTTACCGCTTTTACTTACTATACCGTTCACAACTACCGTTACACTACACGAGTCTGCAGGCCATTAGGTTAACCTTCATACTCGACCGTCGCCTCTAACACAGGGATAGGAGATACGGTCTGGCACCTACGTTCAGATGCTGAGAGTAATAATATAGGGGCATGAGAACGGCAATGGTAACACTTATCTCCCCAGCAGCATGAAGAATACACAGATGAATTAGAACTTACTGCTGTATTGTAATCACTTGTGTAAAGGTGACTTACATAAGCTTGTCCTAATTCAGTCACTAATAGAGAGTTTCTCAACACTGAGGCATCCGATCAATTCGTAGACTGAAAAAGTTGAGTCAAGTTGGACTTATTCGCTGCTTGTGTGTAAACACTGATGAACCGTTCTTGAAATTATTATAGATTTAAGATGCATCTTGTGTGATGCCTCGACTGTTATCGTAAGTCCAAGTATGCATCTTGGCAACTGCATCCTTCCTTCTATGAGAGAAATATTAATTGCTGTTTGATGAGATATTCGATGATGTTATCTTGAAGACAAATAATTGTAAACCAAAAGTCACTGTGTTCTATAATCTGATTGGTTGAAAAACGTGATCAAATGGTATTCGATTCCCGGAAATTCGCTGCGTATTGTTACATACAAACATCGCTTACACCATTGTATTGTTACGTCGTCAGCCCTGATGACGTCATTAAATCATGTTGTGACGTAAAGTCCGAATGACATCACAAATGAGCAGTTCCAGATGCTATCATGGGAGACAGCCGAAACGTCCGGCTGATCACATTTCACTGCTGTACCCGTACTCGATGTCAATGAGTGCAGACACAAAAACCTGTGTGGACCTTTTGGTTTACTTTCGTGTTTACAATGTCGATAAACATCATATGTTGGCCAATTTCGGGGTGTTATTGAGTATTTGAAGCACGGGGATTCATTTGGAACCGACGGCGTCAGCCGGAGGTTTCAAATGAAATATTCCCGTGCTTCAAATACTCAATAACACCCGGAAATTGGTCAACACATGATGTTTATCTCCTTATTAATGCATATTCGTTCTCATTTTACCATCACCCGATAAAACAAATTCCTCGCTAAATCGCTTTCACAGATACAGAAATTCTTGTTTACTTACACCATTTCTGTAAAATATTTTCATTTTAAATTCTATTTCAAATGTTATCAAATAACATCATTTGATTTTCATGACAGTGTAAACAGTTAGATCAGCGTTGATACAATCGTTTTCCGTCTCAAGTCATCTTCATCTTTCCATAAAAGTTTAACACCTCGTGTTAAATTTCAGCCGATGCCAAAGGTATATTATCTTTTCATGCATACGTATATACATTTTACCTACGTTCATATAGATCATGTATCGACTTAATGGGCAAGACGAAGTGATTTATGGTATTACTGTATGATATCACTACTGAAATATGATATCAGTTGTGTGGAATTATATCGGTCAAGTGACATTACCATGGCAAGACTTTGGCCCTGGAATGATATCGGTCTGAGGGCATAATATTGTTACTGTGGCATGATCTCGGCATGCTGATATCGTCACTGTGGCAAGGCATCGCTACTATTACATCATATCGGAACTTGGCATGATATCGTTCCTCCGCGTACCCAGGGCCTAGATTTTCGAAGCTCTCTTAGCGCTAAGATAGCCGTAAGTGCCATACATTAACATAGACTTACGACTATCTTAGCGCTATGAGAGCTTCGGAAATCTAGGCCGAGAACCACAACCAACGAGACATATACTCGTTTCACCAACAACTTCGAGTTTACATCGTTTCATCGTTCATTTATATCTTCGCTCTTCTATTTGTACAGTGAGTGAGTGAGTGAGTTAACATTTCACGTCACATCGGCAATATTCCAGCCATATCGTGACGACGTATTTGTTCAGACCGTCAAACATATGATTAGATCCCGCCGAGAAAGGGACAACACCTTGCCCATTACCAACAGAAATCTCTTATAAAATAATATCAATTTTACGACTGACCCTATTATGATGAGACTGAATCGATGGTTAAGTGGATATACCGTTTGTCTGAGAGCGGAATGTTGGTGGTTCGAGCTCTGTTTGAGACACTCATTTAGCAAGATGCGTGCACTACCTCTACTGGTTGGGACTTTCGCTGATTCCATAGACTCAATCCGCATTTTTCTTTGTTGCTTTTACGCCGCACTCAGCAATATTCCAGCTATATGGCATCGTTCTGTAAATAATCAAGTCTGAACCAGACAATCATGTGATCAACAGCATGAGCATCGATCTACGCAATTGGGAATTACCATGCTTCTGGTTTACATAAAAAATGGCCCACTCAGACATATCAAACTTAGATTTTCGAACCGTACTGCCGTTTGTGTTATCCCATAATGCCCGACCACCGACCCGACCACCGACCACCAGGCAGCATATCAGTCATTTAACAATAAAAGCCAGTACACTCTACATAATTTTCAGTTTTGTACAATCATGTCACCTGTGCTGGACGTTTAATTTATAGGCTGTCATCTTCAGAGTAATTCTCCGTCTATGTAGGCGACTGACAGAGGAGCACTATGCCAATGCTTCCAAGTCTCTCTTTTGGTCTAGTACCATGTGCAACACGGAGACAAGGTCACTGAGTAATTGGGGTACTTGTCACCAATAGATTGATGTTTATTGTCTAGATAACAGACAACCCGACAAACCGAAACTTTGTCGACAGTGCCTCACTGAGCACGGTAGACATTGGACAATCTGGCTATCCCTCGACACTCTGGCAGCTAAAGAATCGACGTTTTTAAAGTGTTGAATCATCAATTTGTATTCTGGTCATTGATAACCGGTTTATGAGTGGGAATAAAATGAACAGATGTATTAAAATACGCTGATGAGCACTTTGAAGTAAATTTATAGAAATTGATGTAATCAGTCACAAATTGATGCTGGATGCATATATTGACTTGTACCAGATGTTCCAATGTTTGCCTTGCCTCTGCATGTGTTTGTGACGGGAGACAAGGGATGGTCAGGATAGCTTCACATTGTCATCTTTTACAACGGAATCCTGACTACTTTTAGTGAATCATGGGCACATATGTATGATACAGTCGGAACCGTACAATAGTTTCGTACGTTAATGATTCGTCGCATTAATAAGGATAGTCCTGTTGTCCTTTCCAAGATCTCACAATAACGGTTTATATAATACAGAATGCATTCATACTCGACCTCGGTCAATAGCTTAAGAACACACCATCAATAAACATTTCTTCCACCCGAGGTACTTCTCTGTATCGAAAGTAGAAGCAGAATGATAAAAAGCAATAAAGAATAAAATGGTAAAGGGTGTCCTCTGTTGGAGTTAATCTGAGCGTAAAGACCACTCTGGTATCGTATAGTCATTGATAAACCCACTGAACTGAACTCGAACAGATTATTGAACTTACACGTCTGGGTAAGGAGAGTGGGTTCCTGCATGCAGGAAACTGTTGCCAAGGATACGTATGCGTGCAATGGCAGGGATATGCATGACCATTGTGTTCTAATAGTGTATTTTGTTACGCACATGTTGTTCTGTTCTTCACTTTCAGATTGTTTAAATGTGCCTACACAAAGTGAAGTGCGCTGGAGGGTCACACGGTGTAGAGCCAGCGTTATCACACTGATAAGGGTTGGCAGTGAGATCGATCAGTAAACGATACACGTTTTTACATACTGTTTACTTGTAACATTTTCCTGTCCTGGGGCATAGTAGAGATATTACAAAACAAAGATCCATTAGGAACCGCCATTGACCTTTGGTGCTATTACGTAAAGAGTTTCAAGATGTTTGAATTGGTATTAAGATTTCTTTTACAATCTTCGATTACGAAATTCCTAGACGATTGTTCAGAGACAATCTGGATTTATTTCTTCAACGTAATGGCGCTGGAAAAACGATCGGCACGGCAGTCACGTGAATAAAGCATTGTTCTCACTCTAAGGTCGCGGTGGAGTAGTGTTCAGGATAAATTGTTCGTTCACCTACTGGATAATAGGGTGACA